CACCCCTGAAGAGGTGGTCTTGGGCTGTAGACATGTGCATACACACTGAGCAGGTTAAGCAAGCCAGGGGAAGCAAGCATTCCTCCACAGCCTCTGCTTCAATTCCTGCTTGAGAAACTGTTTCTCCAGGGCCACCTCCAGGAAATGGATACAGTCGCTGTCCAAGAGGGCCAGACCACCTCTCAAGCTAGCAGCACAAGTTGGTGGTCAAAAGCATTATCCACATGGTGCTGGCTTCAAAGGCAAGGATGCCAGCTTAGGGGCGCCATGGAGAGCAGCTGAGGCTGGGCACTCTGTGACAGGATTTTTGTTTCAGCAGAGAGGCCCTCCTGAAAGGCAATTGTATGAAGATGTGAGGGGTCGAGACCTCAGGGTGTTGGAGCTGCCAGGACCAGGGTTTGTCTGCCAAGGCAAGCTGCAGGTGTGGAGTGGATGAGGCCTAAGCCTAAGAAGCTGTCTGTGTATGCTAAGATCTCAGGATTTATGGCTTCCAGATTCCAGCAACTTGCATATTATTTTGCCTTGGTTCTTTGGTTTTCTTTTGGGTCTTTTGAGACAGAATCTCTCTGTCTTGACATATAGTCCTGGCTGGCCTAGAACCCACTACGTAGAGTAGGCTGGCCTTGATCTTTGTAGGACAGTTGGGATCACGGGCATGTGTGTCGCTCACTTTATTTCTCTGGGCTCCTTGATGGACACCAGGTGGGCACCAGGCACTGACAAGTTCTGCTCTCTCTAGAAGCTTCGATCAAATAAAACCATAAAACAGTAATCAGGCAATACCCACACTCTAGAGGAAAGGTAGGAGGGGCCACGGTGGATCCAGGACAGCGGTCCTTCAGTCACACTCGGGGCAAGAAAGCCACAGTGTCCTTGACTAAATTGTGGAGGGAATGGACCTGGGCGGTGGGGTTATGTGAGATGATAGTGGGCTGGGGTGCCGGGAAACTGGGTCCAGTTTTTATACAGAAAGAGAAGACACACAGTGGTGATGCACATCTTTAACCCCGGCACTAGAGAGGCAGATCTTTGAGCTGAGTTCTGAGTTCGAAGCCAACCTGGCCTACAGGATGATTTCCAGGGCAGCCAGGGATACACTGAGAAACTTGGCCTTGAAAGAAGAAAGAAAGAAGAGGGGTGGGGGAAGGCACCCTTCCGAAGCCCATGGGAAAAGAGGTGTGAGGTCGAACATGATAACGTCTAAGTGAAGTGTCGGGGCAGGGAGACCAAGGAGCCATCAGGGCTTCTGGACCAATCCAGACACAAGAGGAAGGATTGGCTGACTTAACCTTCTGAGGCACAAGCTGGCTTACATACAATGTCTCTCTTAGTGTGTCCCTGAGCCCTGACCCCAGCGACAAGGCCTTGTGTTTGCTGAAAGATGCCATGGGAGTGTTGGGTAAGCACCTTGCAAGAGCGACAGGGTAGGGCATGGGTAATTCCTGATACTGACTGCATGTGGGCGAAGTCAGAACTACACACACACACACACACACATACACACAGCTCACCAACTACAGGATGTAAGTCTCCCCTCCCCCGGCAGGGCAGAGACAGGAGGACCCTGGTTCAAACCATGATTCTTCCTCCTACTATGAGCTCATACGCAAGTCTCTCAAGCTCCCTGAACCCCAGTTTTTTCATCTGTAAAGTATCACCGACAAGACCTACATCCTGGTCTTCTGTGATAACACAAACTTGGCCGGAAACCCCTGCCCCTTCTGTAGCTATGCTGTGCGAAGTTCCTCCCCTCACAGGTAAACTCTGTTTCTCAGGGGGCTTGCTTTGACAAAGAGACAGCAAAGTGATTCTAGAATAGCCTTGAAGAATGGTGACAGTTGATGTCTTGGGTGTGCTTGGGTGATGTCTTGGGAAGCAAGTGCCACACTAGCGAGCCCAGGCTGGTCTGCCAGCTGATGAAAGACACATGGCCCAGTTACCTAGACCGCCCCAAATCAACAGGCAGCAGCAAATGCAGTTCATGGCAGACCTGTGTACCACCAACAGACTTGCCTTGGCTCGTGCAAACCACTGTCTGCAGAACTAGGGAAATGACAGCAGCTATTGAAAGCCCAAGTGAAAGTTATGCTGCAAGATCCAGTTAATAAATAGGCTTAGAAGTCTGCCTAACAATCAAAATGCTCAGGCAGGAATCAGGGCACCGGGGATCGGGGAGGAGGGGTTAACAAATTACCACCTCTCCTAAGGAACAAGAAAATAAACTGTGAATTCTAGGAAAACTCCTACTTCCTGCCTAGAAAAAAAAAAAAAAAAAGGGATCCAGGCCATGGTGCAGATGAGGGGAAGCCAGAGGGAGCCAGGAGACGTAAGAGAGCCCAGGAGACCAAAGTGGCCAACCACGGAAGATCTGAGTGCTCATGTGCAGAGAGAGCAAACCCCAGAGGTGTGCAGCGGGTCCCTGCCAGTACTCAACAGAACACTGACCAGCACATGAGTGAAAGGGACATCCGAAGCTTAAGGAAGGTGGACGAGTGACTCCTGCTATTTCCTGCATAGTGAGGGATCCTATCTCAAAAACCACGGTGGATGGTTTAGCACCAGAGATTGACCTCTGACCTCCACATGCATACACATGCACTTTCTCTAGTTGCACATCATCACAGCCGTCTGTTGTGGCCCCATATTGTGGTGCCAGTCTGTTGTAACCAGTCTTTGTGAGGCTTCAGTTGGATCCAGCCAACTTGCCCGGCTCATACCTGAGGGGGGAGTGTGGATTGAAAATCGGAAGGAAAAGACGCTAAGAAAAAGAAACACAGGATACAGTCAAGAGGGCAATCCAGTGAATACTGGACGCTCCAAGTTTATTCTTCAACATTCTTAAGTACCCCAACCAGAAGGGGGAACACGACAAAGGACTTCTTTATCATATATAAGGAACAAATAGACTTTATTTCCTTAATCCTCCAAACATTTGGTAACCACATTTTAGACTCAATTTCCCGTTATCCGGCCTTAAGGGACAAAAGTAACCACACCTCAGACCAAGTCTGTTGTTACTTAGATAAGACATCCTACAGTAGCCATGCCTTAGACCTTTGGGTCTTATGACTTACTAAAGACAGCCTTGAACTCTCTGACCTTGAGCCAAGAAGACATGAGTCATCTTTATGGGCCCTGACACACATCCATTGTAGACTGTGGCTTTTAAAATACACACATAAGAGCCAAAAACCAGCGTTCAGGAGAGGACAATTTTCCAGCCTCTGGGAATGGGTTCTAACACAAGAGAGTTACTTCCAGCATGGCCTTTCCAAGACATGCAGTGCAGGTCAACCAAACACAGGAGCTTGAGTTTCTCAGGTTCTTGTTGCACTATTCACTCAGGCCAGAAGATGGCGCTGCTTCTCCGCGGGTATTCAAGTACGTTCATTTTCTTTCTTAAAGTTTAATGGGTTGAGTGTTTGGTTTGTATGTCCGAGACCATGGTGATGTAGGCACAAGTAATGTACATTGTAATCATAACCAAATGTGAAACTGGAACTTCTCTGGATAGAAACATTAGTAGGTGCAGGCCCTGTGCTAGCTGCTGTAAAACCTTTCATTCCAAAAGCCCAAGCTTCTTGCCACCCACCAAAAAGGCCTTTTTTCAGGACCTGGAGGGATGGTTCAGTGCTCAAGACTTGCAGAGAAAGAGTTCAGTTCTCGCACTCACAGCAGGCAGCTCACAAACACCTGTAACTCCAGCTCCAGGGGATCCAACGCCCTCTTCTGGCCTCTGCAGACACCACATTTAATGTGTGTGCACAAACAAACCCACACACACTCACTCACGGGTGCACACACAATTTAAAATAAAATAAATATTTTTAAATTCTAAATACCATTTTTTTTCAGCCTGGTGTGATGATGCATGGCTATAATTTGAGATATTGGGGATGCTAAGAGAGTAGGATCCCCAGTCTGAGGAGAATCTGGACAAGTCGATGAGATTATCTCTAAAAAAATAATAATAATAATAAAATTTAAAAGGGCTCAGCTTGTAGCTCAGTGATAAAATGATTCCCCAGTGTGCACAAGGCACTGGGTTCCATCCCCAAACTGCCACCACTACCAACAACAACGAAATATGCTATTGTGTATACTGTAAGTTTGTACATATCTTATTTATTCACTTAAAGTGCATATAAAAACAAAAATGGGTCAGGCATAGTAGTTCATACTTTTAATCTCAGCACCCAGGGGATAGAGGCAGGTGGATGTATTTCTGTGAATTTGAAGCCAGCCTGGTCTATGTAGTGAGTTTCAAGCTAACCAAAGATACAGAGTGAGACTCTATCTCAAATACATACATACACACATACACACACACCTATACATACATACATACATATATACATACATACATAAAAGTAAATGCATAACAATAAAAGGAATAATGAACCTGGAACTCTAATGTTCAAAGACCTTTGTAAAAGCACAAAGCTGATAGCTGCATGGTAGATTTCCACTTCTCTGTACCCTTCTCAGCATAGGGTACTCAGTGATCAATGAAACTGCATTGTGATTTGTCTTGGTTTGGGATTTTATTGCTGTGAAGAGACACCATGACCACAGCAGATATAGGAAAACATTTAACTGGGGCTGGCTTACAGTTCGGAGGTTTAGTCCATTATCATCATGGCAGGAAACTTGGCTGCAGGCAGATGTGCTGTGGGAGAAGGAGCTGAGAGTTCTACATCTCGATCCAAAGACAGCCAGCAGGAAGAAACTGTAAGCCACTAAGCCTGGCTTGAGCTTCTGAGACCTCAAAGCCCACCCTCACCCCCACCCTCGTGACCTACTCCAGCAAGGCCACACCTCCCAATAAAGCCAGTCCCTATGAGCCTATGGGGGCATTTTCATTTGAACCACCACACAACTACAGATGAAAATGTAAAAGTAACCGGAAAGTCAGGACCAGAGAGGACACCGTCCAAACGATACTTGGAAAACGGGGTCTCTTAAACGATGTGGCCACCACTTGTGTGTTTTTCACCACTATGGCTTGTACCAAGCAGACCGCTCGCAAGAGCGCCCCTGCCACGGCACCGGCGGCGTGGAGAAGCCCCAACCGCTACCGGCCCAGCACCCTGGCCCTGCGCGAGATCCAGCGCTACCAGAAGTTCACCGAGCTGCTGATCGCAAGCTGCCTTTCCAGCACCTGGTGCGCGAGATCGGCGCAGGACTTCAAGAGCCATTATGGCCCCTCAGGAGGCCAGCGAGGCCTACCTGATGGGTCTGTTTGAGGACACCAACCTGTGTGTCATGCACGCCAAGCGAGTCACCATCATGCCCAAGGACATCCAGCTGGCCCGCCGCATCCGTGGTGAGCAGGCGTAATGTTATTGGCCTCAAAAACTTAAAAAAAAAAAAAAAAAAAAAAAAAAAAAAAAGGCTCTTTTAAGAGCCACCCAAAAAAGATATGGCAAGAAAACAGTGTCGTTTTACTACCAAGGAACACAAGGCTGCCCATAGAGGCCTGACTTTATGAACTTTATACAAAAAGTTTATGACCCAAACTTTAAATAGAGCAGATGCAACACCCAGCCAGGTGTGATGGAGCATGCCCTTAGTCACAGGAGTTAAGAGCAGGAGAACCCATTCAAAGCCACCCTAGACTACATAGCAAATTCAGAGTCATGCATAGTGGTTGATAATCCTCACATATTCTCCAAAGGGGCTACAACTTGGAATCAGACAAAGGAAGAAAAAGAGTGGCATTGGTGTCATCCATTTGAACTTAATACTTTTGCAGTTCTCTCTGTATTTCATTTGGAGGTTTGCATTTACTTCTAGTCACAGCCACCACGTAGGAGCTCTGTGCACACATTAATGCCTGGTTTCTGCGCAAGTAATATATTCTAACAAAATTAATTTAGCACCAGGATAAGTCGTTACTTAGCTCAAGCTGGCCTTGAATTAATGATCTTCCTGCCTCAGCCTCATGAATGCTGGGATGAGAGGCAACACTACTACACCTGGCTCATTTTTTCCCCCCCATGTAAAAGAGTGTGTGGGACTTAGTGAGACAACTCAGCAGAGGGAAGAACTGACAACTCCTAAAGTTGCCCTCTGGCCTCCACACAAGTGCTTTCACATACACACACACACACACACACTAAATAAATAAATGTAATTTTTAATTAAAAATAAAAAAGATTGGGTCGAGCAGTGATGGTGCACGTCTTTAATCCCAGCACTCAGGAGGCAGAGGCAGGCAGATTTCTGAGTTCAAGATCAGCCTGGTCTACAGAGTGAGTTGCAGGACAGCCAAGGCTACACAGAGAAATCCTGTCTAAAAAAAAGAAAAAGATGTTCACACAGTGAGGCTAGAGACACATGGATCACTTTGCTTCTCCTAGGAGTGGGCAGTAGCGAAGGGTAAAGGAACAGGGTCCAGACAAGGTTGGCTTTGACCTCCAGGGACACAGACACCAGGAATATTGACATAGCCAATGTACATAACCAGTTGCAAAAATAGTTATTAGTTATATATCTATATAACCATGTTGGCAACTTAAGGGAAGCAGATATGGCTTACAGAAAAAAGGAGTATGGGCGTGTGTGTGTGTGTGTGTGTGTGTGTGTGTGTGTGTGTGTGTAAAAATCACAAATAAACCATCACACCCGCTCTCTCCAGATCAGTTGTCCACTCTGGTAGAGGCGTGGCTGTCTGGAAACTGCCTCTCTTGGCCACAGGTAAGCATCCCAAGGATTCCAAATATGCATCATGAGAAACACCAAAAATCAGGCTTTAGAATGTGTTTTCCAGTGAACTTGTGCAGCCTTTGTACATATATGGTGGGAACATCAAAAGACCATAAACCATTGTGCAGTAGAAACTGTCTTGATGGTCTTAACCCAGGTCTGAAGTCCCAAACGTTGTGGACAGCACCATTCCCTGGGTTTGGGGTTCCAGACTGTATGAGGGGCAAGAGCACAGTGGATGCACATTTGTGGGTCCCTCTCTGCTCTTGACTGTGTATGGGACTGGCCGCTTCTGAGCCTCAGCTTCCCTGCAATGATGGGCTGTAACCTAGAATGAGAAACCAAATGAACCCTTTCTCCCCTGGCTTGCTTCTTGTCACAAAATGAAACAGATACAGACAATGGTAGCCAAGAGGTGGGGTCTTTTGTATGATAAACCTGTCATGTGGCTTTTAAGGCTTTCAGACCATTTCTGTGAGGAATGTGAAAGTACATTCGGTACATTGGGCTAGAAAAGCTGTTGAAGACTGGAAGAATTTGATTCTAGTAGCAACTTGAAAGACAGTGATTGTGGAAGCCCAGCTCATGAATCCAGTGGGGACAAGAACGGGAACGGGGCCATTTATGTGATGCTCTGACCAAGAAGAATCTGGATTTCTTCTGCCTGACCTGAGACCCTGAATGGAGCATAAGTACAAGATGGGCTCCTTTGTTTGGCAGAGAGAACTGCAATTTGGGAGCGCATTCTGGCTGACTATGAGAGAGCAACTGTAATCAAGACCGCTGAAGCGAAACTTCAAGTGCCATAGTAGGACACCAGGAAAGATGTCCTGGGGCAAGGCCTCAGAGCCTCAATTGTATGGGGATCTGAGGGTTTTTTTTTGTTTGTTTTGTTTGTTTTTTTTTTTTAAACAGGGAAAAAGCCTAGCTTGATGAGGTTCTCTGCTCCTCAAAAGTAAATGCCTAAGAAACTGTTTCTCCAGGGCCACCTCAGATGGACAGACCACCTCTCAAGCTGGCAGCACAAGTTGGTGGTCAAAAGCATTATCCACATGGTGCTGGCTTCAAAGGCAAGGATGCCAGCTTAGGGGTGCCATGGAGAGCAGCTGAGGCTGGGCACTCTGTGACAGGATTTTTGTTTCAGCAGAGAGGCCCTGAAAGGCAATTGTATGAAGATGTGAGGGTGAAGCCATGGTTGCAGTCGAGACCTCAGGGCATTGCAGCTGCCAGGACCAGGGTTTGTCTTTTGTCTGCCAAGGCAAGCTGCAGGTGTGGAGTGGATGAGGCCTAAGCCTAAGAAGCTGTCTGTGTATGCAGCCAGTGGCAGTGCTGGGGGTGTGGCTACCCAATCTCTCTGGAGCCCAGGGACTACAGGATCCAGCTTTTGGACACTAGAACTATAAGATTGGGTGCTGTCCCTGCTGGGTTTCAGTTATGCTGTGGGGTGCTGCCTTTGCTATGACCCCTAGACTTTCACGTTAGAATGAGAAAGTGTATTTGTTCCATCGTATGTTGAAAGTACAAAACTTGCTTGATTTTATTTGGGAGAGTTTGGACTTGTAAAATATTGCAAATTTTTTTGTTTTGTTTTGTTTTGCTTTTCAAGACAGAGCTTCTCAGTGTAGCCTGGTTGTCCTGAGACTCTGTAAACCAGGCTGGCCTCAAACTCACTGGGATCCACCCGCCTCTGCCTCCCAATTGCTGGAGGCAGATAGCCCAGATAAAATACGGGAATTTTTAAAGACTGTGGTGTGTTGGCTAATTTTATGTCAACTTGACACAAGCAAGAGTCATCTTAGAGTAGGAAACCTCAATTGAGAAATTCACTCTATGATACTGAGCTGTAGGCAAGCCTGTAGGGCATTTTTTAAAAAAGATTAATGGGGTACGGCCCAGCCATTATGGAAGGTGCCATCCCTGGGCTGGTGGTCCTAGGTTCTAAAGAAAGCAGGCTGGGAAAGCCATGAGGAGTAAGCCAGTAAGCAGAACTTTTCTATGGTCTCTGTATCAGCTCCTGCCTCCAGGTTTCTGATCTGTTTGAGTTCCTGTCTTGACTTTCTTTGATGATGAACAGTGATGGTCATCATATCTTACCACAGCAAAAGTAACCCTAACTAAGACACTAAGGAACTTTTAAAGGTAAACTATAGTTTATATTGTGAGATAAACATGAGACCTTGGGGACAAGGGGTAGAAAGTGACAAGGGGTACAGTTGTGATGGTTACTGTTTTTGAGACAGGGTCTCACTATGTAGCTCTGACTAGCCTAGAACTTGCTCTGTAGACCAGGCTGGCCTCAGCTCACAGAGATCTGCCTGCTTCTGGCTCCGTGTGCTGGCATTAAAGATGCACACCATACTCTTCTGGTGTTACTTGTAATTGACAGGTAGGTTGTCTAGGTTAAGTTGGCCCGTTGGCATGCGGGGGTGGGAATCGTCTTGAGATGGGAGTAATCCCCAGAACGGAAAAGTACCATTCCCTGGAATGTAAGTGCTGCATAGTCCTGGATCTTAGTCCTGAGTTGTACAAGAAGATGGGCTGAGCACAAACAAGTAAGCATGCACACTTTATTTTTTGGTTTATTCGAGACAGGGTTTCTCTGTATTGCTTTGGAGACTGTCCTGGAACTCGATATGTAGACCAGGCTGACCTCAAACTCACAGAGATCCACCTGCCTCTGCCTCCCAAGTGCTGGGATTAAAGGTGTGCACCACCAATGCCCGGCTTCATACATTTATTCTCTATCTGCTCTTGACTGTGGGTATGACTTAACTGCTTCGAGTTCTTGCTTTGACTTTGTTGTGATAGCCAAATAAACCATCTCTCTCTTGAAGTTGCTTTTGTTCTGGTATTTTATCACAGAAGTTGTCAACTTGACATATCTAAAATAACAAGTCACTGGGGTGGGAAGAGCAACCTTAACATGGGCTGGGATCCTTGTCTGAGAAAAAACAGTGAGAGGGTCATGAACACTCCTCTGCTCTGGCTGGTTACTGTGACAGACTGAGCTCTGGGACTACAAGCTGAAGAAAGTCCTTCCTTAAGGTGCCTTGGTCAGGGATTTTCATCACAGCAACAAGTAACTAATACAGTTAAAACAGGGAAAGAAGCAGGTCAGTGGTAGCATATGCCTAGGCAGAAGCAGGCGGATCTCTGTGAGTTCCACCTCAGTCTGGTCTACAGAGCAAGTCCTAGGACAGCCAGGGCTACACAGAGGAAACCCTGTCTCAAAAAAAAAAAAAAAAAAAAAAAAAAAAAAGGAAAGGAGGAAGGACCAGTTCCAGTTCAGAACCCCAGAAAAGGAGCCGTGCAACACATTCCCAGGTGTCTGATACACAGTGTTTGAGGTAGCAAATGCCTTTCTCCATACCTGTTTGTAAAGACCAGAAGCCGTTTGCACTCCACTGTCAACACCAACACTCCCACCAGCCTACATCTAGGGAATAACTCTCCAGCCTTGTCATCATTTAGTCCACAGGGACCCTGTTTTTCCCTACCACCAGATGTCACACTGGTCCACTCCATGGGTGACATGATACTGATAGGACCTAGTGAGCACTACGTGGTATACACAGGAAATCCACTTGCTAATACATCAGACTTTAACATTAGTGGAATTTCTGGGGGTTCAGTAGCCTGGGTGGGCTATGTCAGGATTTCACTTTCAAAGTAAAAGTTGTTGATTGGGCCCCTCACATAGCTGGAAAAGAACCTTGAAGAGCTAATAGGCCTCTTTATTTAGACTTTGGAGTCCACAACTTTGTCACTTGTGGCCTGGGGTTGCAGTGCAGTGGCAAGGTGCTTGCCTAGTATGAGGACCCGGGTTCCATCCACTACCACAAAATATAATAAAAGTTTACCTGCTGAGTGTGCCACTCACTCAGGGTCCCCAACACTGCTGGATTTGAGGCCATCCCAAGAGAGGAATCTCTGTGACAGGTCTGGGCTGCTGTCACTGTTCAGGCCACGTGATTTGGGTGCTTGCAGCGCCAGGGGCAGAGGCTGAGCCCTGAAGCCCCACCCAACTGGACTTTGTGTCGACCCTTTTTTGTCTTGTTTGTATATGGGCCACACACCTTTGTTTCCTCCCCTCTCCCCTTGTCACCTATCATAACTTGGTCACATGGCTGGAGTTTGCAGATGGAGCTAGAGAGCACTGGACCCAGGGGCACTTACTCGTCCCTAGTTGTACACAGGGCAGCTGTGCTGACAGGCAGAAGTGCTACTGTTTCCCACAGTACGGACTGGTCTACAAAGCTACAGATACTAGAAAAGTTATACTTATTCACATACTACCTATCACTGCTTTCTGCTACAATGACAGTGCAGTACATGTGGCAACTGCAGGATACTCACACAAAAATATGGACATAAATGCTCATAATAAATGCTCATAGCAGTACAATTTACAATAGCAAAAAAGAAAAAAGAAAAATCCTTCAACATATGAACCAAATGTAGTGTCTATTTAGTACTTGGCCAGAAAGAGAAGGCATTTGGCAAATCATGAAAACACTCCAAGCAGCTAGACTCAAAGGCTAGCTTTTGAATATTGCATGGTTCCATTTGTGTGAAATGGGAACAGGCAAATTCTGAGACACAGTAGGTTAGTGGGCTGGAGCGGTGACTCAGTAAAGTGCTAGCCACACAGGCATGAGGACCTGAGCTTGATTTCCCAGGATCCATGTTTACAAAACCAGGTATAGGAATTGGAAAGGTGGCTCAGCAGTTAAGAGCACTGGCTGCTCTTCCAGAGGACCTAGGTTCAACTCCCAGCACCCACATTGCAACTCACAACTGTAACTCCAGTTCCAGGGGATTCAATATTATAAGCAGGAATACACAAGTTGTAGACATGCAAATCATGTGTAACTTTTTTTTTAATTAAAAAAAAATACAGTGGCAAGTGCCAGTAATCCCAACACCAAGGAGGCAGGTAGGATAATGCCTGGGACTTGCTGCCATCCAGTCTAGCCAAACCAGCAAACTATAGGCTCAGTGATGGAGACACCCAGTGTCAACCTCTGGCCTCCATACATAGACACACACAATGGATTAGTGTTTTCTAAAGGCTAAAAGGAGAATTGACTACACAAAGCTACAGGGTTTCTTTCAAGGATATAAACATTCTGGAGTTTATGTTTACACAGCATATATCTGAGAGATACTAAAATGCACTGACCTGTTTACCAGCAGAGTTCAGTAGGGGACCCAGGACCTAGTGACAAACCAGTCCCTCCTGCTACCTCAAACCAAGATCAAACCTTGCTTTTAATCAGTAGCCAAAGTTTACACCCCACTTGTCCTGGCATCTATGTGACTTTATATGTTTCTGGCCTTGGACTTTGTCCCCTGTATATGTCCAAATGTGTGGGGAAGGGAAAGGCTGGTGCAATGTGTGTGAACATGATCTTGATTTCCCAGGGATCCCTTTGTCTTCTTAGACTTTATTAGCAGATATTCATTTTAATCTTCATAACCACACTTTTGGGAAGCAATATTCATTTTCTTTGTATGCAGATGGTTCAGAAAGGCCAAACAACTAACTTGTCCACATGCAGAGTGTTCAGGAGTTGGAGGAGTAAGACCTCACACATTTTCCCCACAACATTGCTTTTGTGAACCTCTAAAAAGCCCAGCTGAGATAAGACAGTATCAAACAGGCCACAGCAGCAACCTAGCACTCTGCTGGACCTCTTCATGGCAGCCATCCATGACGGCTAGGCCTAAACCTTAAGGTGTATCAATGAGAAACCCGCTTAACCTGGAGCTTTGGCAGTGCTACCAGCTAAGTGTGTTCAAGACAATTCAGTTTGTTCATCCCAGTATCATCTGACTAATGACTGCTCTTGGGACTCAAGCAACGTGAAAGCATGGTTTTAAAAATGAAAAGCATCTTATTCCTCTTGCAGAGCTGGCAAGCAAGATGGTCTCAAGCTTGCTATCCCCTCCAAGATTCTTCCAGAAAGCTGGGTGACTCGCATCAAGAGGGCTGCCTAGACTGTCCAATACTGTTTCCATCTGGCCAGGAAATACTTTTTCAGCACTTGCTGCAGATGGGCACAACTATGCTTTAAGAAACAGCAGTTGATGATGTGGGTGGAGAAATAAGGCAGGCTAGCAGAACCATGCAGAATAAGGTGGTCAAAGCGAAGGTGGGAGCAGAGTACACCATTATGTATTAATATATCCAGGAGTCAGATATTTGAGCAGTCACTACAATAGCTACACCTTGGGGCTAGGCGAAATGCCACCTAGGGCTCAGGGACAGGGAGACTGACAGGGACACACTACAGTGGACAACTCCTACCTACTGTTAGGCTGTTGTCTCTACCAGGTACCCTTCATTCATCCCTAGCTCTTGTTCTTTACAGGTAGGGGATTGACCCCCTCAAGACTGTTCTCAACTGGCTAGAGAAGACCCTGGACTGGGGATAAGTACAGATACTGACACTGATTTTCTCCACCTGACCTGGGCACAGACTTGAGAGGCTGTTTCCTCTGTAAGAATTCCAGTGTCCATCTTCCTCTCATATGGGCCTGTTTATCATTCCCTTCCAAGGCTCAAGATGGGACTGGTTACCAAAAGCCCTGCAGACTGAGATCAGACTTACCTGTGTAGGCATTGTGTTGTCACAGGGGTCATTTGGAGCAGAAGCAGATGACTGGGCAGGGTCTTCAGTCCCTTTATTAATCCCTCAACTGCCCTCACTATCCCAAAGGCAGTCTCTCCTCATCAAGATCCTGCCAACCAACTTTGAATCTGAAGCTTGGCCTACCTCTGATTGTCATCCGTAACACACTCCCATTCTACTTCACCCAGGAAACCCCACCCTCCCCCACACCTACTGTGGCACCAACAGCACCAGGCCAACCAACCCTTCACCCCCAAAGAAACCCCAACAGCTCAGAAGTGCATCAATCGACCTTTAATGTCCAAAAGAGGCATGGATGCAGAGCATAGATGTGGCAGGGTCTCAGTCCCTGCACTAGAAATGAGAGATGAACAAAAACTAGACACTTCCAACTGGCCAGTCTTGGAGGGCAGGGAGAAACACAGATCTAGACATTCATAAGGAAAATAAAACCTAGACTCATTCAACCTTTACCCAGTGAAAGGTTTGAACAGGGAACTCAGTCACCACCAGTTCCCACCCTCCCCTGCCAGCATTGAAGAAAAAAAAAAAAAAAAAGCTCAATACACACTAAGGGCTTAGGAGGAAGGGGCATTCTCCTGCCTTCCCCCACCCTCAAAGGATGGGCTGGGGAAAAAAAGCTGAATTTCCCCACCCCTTACAGTGTCAACCCTACTGAATGTTCTGAATGTGATTCATTAGAACCAGCAGCTCAATTGGCAATGACAATCCCCACCCACCCCAATCATGTCAACAACAGCCAAGGTTTCCCTTGCACCCTTCTCTGGAAGGTTTCCCCACTCACAACCCTTCTCCGCCTGACTCCCAACGCTTCATTATTATACTTCAGAACTGTCCCAAGGAGCCCCTTCTCTGCCCTCACTTCTTCCATACCCACTAGAGGCTGGGACCAGCCACAAGTTGCTCCCTGCCCACAGATCCAACTCCAGGGCAAGTGGCAGTATGGCCATCTTGTTCTGGGTGACTATCCAAAAACTTTCTCAGAAACAGCCAGCCATAGGGCAAATCAGGGTGTCCAAGCTAGATGGCTGAGGGGAGAGGGATGGTGTGACACCAACCTGTCCTCACCCCAACAGGTAACAAACGCCCACTTAGAACTGTGTCCCCTACCTCCCCATACACCCTAGATTCCGCATATCCTGCCCCTTCCCTCCCTTCTATCCCAGACCCACCCCACACACACACACACACACACACACACAGACACACAGACAAACACAAACACACACAAGGAAGAATCGAGGGGGACACTGATTTGGTTTGATCACTAAGACCTAACTAAGGAACTACAGTCACCAGAAATTCCCTTGCCAGCCAACAAGGCTGCTCTAAGAGAACTGAGGAATGAGAAAAAAACAAGGGCTAAGCAGGGAGCAGACAGAAGAATGTAAAGGGAAAAAGTCAAGTTAATCCTACTCCTAGTATCCTTCCAACGTGACATCTGGCTGGAAGAATAAAGGAGGGTAATCCACAAATACACAGCCCTTACTTAAGAGACCCTGACAAGGACGGCAATACAAGTCTGCTCCCCACTCCCACACCACAAACACATCTCAGGGTCTCGTAAGTCTGTACCCCACCCCCCCTCCCCCAAGCCATAAAGTCACAGTTCAATGGAATATTCTCCCTGGTACTAGAGCAATCCCCCCACCCAACTTCCTACCCCTCTCTCCTCCTTGCCAATCCTAACAATGTCCTCACAGTTCCCGGCCCTCCTAAAGCAGCATGTACCCACAGAAGAGGCAGCCGCTGCTCTACCTCTACAGACCTGTTCTCTACTCCTCAGCTTCCTGGTCTCTTGGGCTTTGCTGAGGGCCTTTTATTTTATACAGGGAGAGAGAGAGAAAAGGAGGGATGGGAGAGAGTTCCTAGTGCAGTACAACCAAAAAAATATTTTTAAAGTCTTAAAAAAAATAAACATAAAGCAGCCTTCTTCCCCAGGCAACTAAACAGAAAGAAGTTTGGTTTTGTTTACTGCGACACACACATGAAATCGAGTATACAGTCCATGCAGTAGCACAGCCATTGGAGAGGACTTCCTGATGCTGGCCCCAGTGCAAGACAGTCCCAGCAACGCCGCCTGCTCGCCATCGCTGCCGCCGCCACTGACACCTTCACCTCGGCCACCTAGCCTGACTTGAAGAGGAGGATTGCAACTTGACCCAAGTAAAAATAGATGAAGTGCTTTGTCTCATGTGTGACATAGCTGCCAAAATTTCGGCCCACGATACAATGCCAGGTAGGGTTATATTTCTTGTCAAATTCCTTAAAAAAAAAAAAAAAAAAAGTAAAGAAAGGTGGTTAGGATTGGAGTCACACTCCCGGCACACACATTCGGTTGTTCTCACCCACCTTGTCTAGTATCCAACCCCAACCCTGCCACCCCAGCCCAGGGCCTCAGAGGTTCAGGTTCTAAGGCTGGCAATGACATTCCTACCCTCATCAATAATAAACTACAAAGGCTCCATTATTCCTCCCCACCAAGCCTCTAGCACTCTACACCCCGATCATCTCTCCTCCCTCTAGTTAGCCCACACCCAGACCTGCCCACCCTATGATTTGTCAAGATAATAATCAATAAATCCAGTATGTCCTAGAGCAGTCAAGTGGGTCCTGGTCACCCACTGCCTCACACATTACTAAACCAGCATTCCACTGGGAACAAATGGGGATTTACCTGTTAAGTACCGGGACCAGTTGCATGGCACCATGTGTGGTGTGCCCACTGACTGCCTCACACTAAGAGATCACCCCAAGAGATCCCTGAGAGCAATCAGACAGCTCCCTAGCACACAGGGGCTCAGCCCACAGCTCAGTTCTAGATGTATCCTTCCACAAATTGTGAAAGGACAGTAGCATATCAAGGCTGTCCCACAGCTCTCTGGTCCACTGGATACTCCACATTCTTGTCTAACTTCCTAAAAGCACCCACACCACACAATTCCATGAGGTACTAAGGAACAAAGAAAGCCAAATATAACTTCAATCCTGATTCTAGACTCTGTCTAAAGGAGGAGCCATTATCCTCCCTCTACTGGGTCACTTAAGGGTTCTTCTCATGCTGAGAAACTATGAGTCTACTTTCTCTCTGGGTGGGACTGAAAAAGACATCAATCATGTAGGAAGGACTCTGTTCCCCAGCTCCATACATAGGGAGGTTTCTCTTGACTTCCATGTCTGATTCTACCCTTCAAGGGTAGGAAAACAGTGAAACTGGAGATACACTGGACCCATCTTATTACTGTGCCGACTGCCACCACACCCATATGCATCTTTTTTAAAATGCCAGAGCTTAGAAGGCCAATGACTGGGCTATGCCTCTAGTTAAGACATGGGTTTTGGGGGCTAGAAAAATGGAGAGCAGTTAAGAGCACTAGCTACTCTTTATTTATAAAACACCCTGGGCTTAATTCCCAGCACCCACACAGTGGCTCACAGCCACCGTAACTCCTATCCCAAACAATCTAATGCACTCTCTGACCTCCACAGGGACCAAGCACACATATGACAAATATACACACAGGAAGGCAAAACATTCATACAATAAACAATATCAAAAACAGAAAGCGAACCACGTGGGTTTTGACAGCAGTCAGGGGCCTGTGCTATTACTCCTGGTTCAGCTGCCTCTTCAGTGTTAACCATTTCCACTGAGGTATTCATTTAGGAATTTTTCTTCTTTTTCTTTTAAATATTTACATTTGTTTGTTTGTTTGGGAGTGGCTGAGTATGCTACAACACACATGTGGAAGTCAGAAGACAACTTGCAGGAGTCCATTCTCTCCTTCCACTGTGTGGGTTTCCTGGAACAAACTCAGGTCATCGGGCTTGGTGGAAGCCACCCTTGCCCTGTGCCACCTCACCAACCCCATTTAGGAAGTTTTCAATAACCAAACTCTAATGTTGAACCATTTTTATAAAACTTACAAGTCAGTCCTCTACATCTGTGGGTTCTACATCCATATATTCAACCAACCATACATTTAAAATATTCAGTAAAAAAACTACACCTATGTTGAACCAGTACAGATTTTGTTGTTTGTTTTCGAGACAGGGTTTCTCTGTGCCTTTGGAGGCTGTCCTTGAACTAGCTTGGTAGACCAGGCTGGCCTCAGAGATCAGCTTGCCTCTGCCTCCTGAGTGTTGGGATTAAAGGAGCTCACCACCAACACCCAGCCTGATTTTCTTTACCATTTATTTCCTAGTAGTCCCTACTGAAATCAAAGGACTAAATATTCAAACTCATTTTTTTTCTTGTTTTTTTGAGACAGGGTTTCTGTGTGTAGCTCTGGCTGTCCTAGAACTTGCCATATGGGCCAGGCTAGCCTCAAACTCAGAGATCTGCCTGCCTCTGCCTCCAGAGTGCTGGGATCAAAGGCATGTGCCACCATGGTCAGGCTTCATGCTGTTAAAGAATGTAGGGAGGGGGGTGTTGGAGTTGGTTCAGCAATTAAGAACACTTGTTGCTCTTCCTAGGACCTGGATTCAACTCCCAGCATCCACATAACGGTTTACAACCATCTACCTCCAGTCCCAGGGGGTCTGATGGCCTCTTCTGGCCTCCACATGCACTGTGGTATAGAGACATACACATAGGCAAAAATATCCATACACATAAGATAATTTTTTAAAAATTAAGAGAATATAGGGAGAAGAGTACGAAATATTGCAAAATATGCAGGCCCTTAGTCCTTTTTTAGGGAAAAGAAAATGTTCCATATCATGAGCATTATAAAGGATATACCACTGTAAATGATGAAGTTCCCTGAAAATCTATTCAGAATCACACAGCATTCGTTCAAATGTCATTTAAATTTGAATATTGAATAATTCTCAACTGGGCTAGTAATATTAATTCTAAAGTTTCTCTGCATAGTATTCCCTTTCCAATGACATAATGATTTGTAAAACAAAGCTTCAGCAGAACTCTCATCAAGAATCACTATGGTGACTGTTTTGGCAATTCAGAACCACCCCATAATCCAGCTGCAGGATTTGTCTGAAGGGCTACCCTGCTTTCTCAGGAACTACCTGCCCTGACCCTGACCGCCTTGCCTCCGCTCAGCTGTCAACCCTCATGCTCCTGGCTTACCTTCTTGATATAGGCAGCAATGTCCTTCTCTATGTTGTATTTCTCCATGGCCTGTGTGGCACAGTCAACGGCATCCTGTTGCATGTCCTCAGACATGTCTGCGTTCTTGATCACTGCCTTCCGGTCAGACATCTTGACACTGCAGGAGGAGCACAAAAGTAAAGTTGACAACTTCTCAGTGTGGCAAGGGACAAAGCTAGAGGTTGGGAGCTTCAGGGCTGGAGGGCACTATAGAAGGTGGAAGTATATGAAACACAGACAAGAGACATTAAGAGGAAGCATGCTGGGCATGGTGGAGCAACCTTAAATCCAAGCACCTGGGAGACAGAGGTAGTTGGATCTCAGAGTTAAAGGCCAGCCCCGTCAAAAAAGGCAATTCTAGGCTAGCCAGAGATACACAGTAAGACCCCAGATCTCTAAAGGAAAAAAAAGGGTGGTTACACTTACAAGCTTTTAGCAGAAATATGGCCCCTACTTCTTGAAAATACAGGGCAAGTTAAAAAGAAATGTAGGTGTAGGACTTCATGTTTTAAAACACACATAAAATGAATTTTCTAACTCTTCATAGCTATGTATTTCCTACACTCTGAACTACAGTACAACACCAATATCCAGAGTGGTAAAACAATGCATCCCCTAACTATCTTCCAGCAAGTGAATTTACCTCTGTGTTTTATGTCACCCTCTGTAAAATGGGGATAAAACCAGAAGCTAACACCTGAACAGATTCAGCGAATGATTAAATGACTATAACATTTCCTGGGTTCATGGCAGAAAACACCTGCGAGAAATTAGTATCCTTGATTTCTGGTCCTGACTCTGAACATTTGTGGTCTGGGCAAGGCATCTGGCCTTTCTGTATCGATTACCTCCATTTTAGCAATGAGGTCAGCTCTCAATTGGAGGTTGTTTAAGAATTAACTAAGGTTATATGAGAGCATCTGCAAACAAGGAGAAGTCTATACAAGGGGGCTGTTGTCCAGCCAGACTCAATCAACACCTGTTTTTATAAATCAAAGTTTTATAGGAACATGTTACAACAGCAGAGATGAGTCCTCAAGACTATTCTGCCCACAAAGCCTAAGATATAAAAAACTCACTGTCCCCTCACAGAAAAAGGGCCAACTCCATTTTGGCACACAAGGCCTGGTGGAAAAGAGGTAATAAAGACCTCTTAAATATTGGGGCTGGCATATCTCTAACTGGAGAAGCGGCCATGTGTCATCCCATCCACATTTTTCTTCCCTGCTCTCCTTACTACCATGTTCAATCTTCAAAGTGCAATACAATTTTTGAATTTTAGCAATTGAGTCAAGGCCCCAACAATAATGTTATTTCTCTGAATTTTTGCTTCCTCGTGTAAAAATTATTATTAATATTCATTAATGAAGTGAAAATCTGGAGAAATGTCTTCTTATCCTGACAGGAAAGCCGAGAACTTCCCCTTAAAAAAAAAAAAAAAAAAAAAAAAAAAGGCCAGGTGAGGTGGTTCACACCTGAAATTATAACACTTGGGAGACAGAGGTAGGAAAATCAAGCATTCAAAGCCAGGCTCAGCAACCACGGAGACCCAATAAAAACACAGGACCTAGAAATACCTGGAGATGGAAGAAGGGCAGGACACTGACATATGAAGGCTCAAAAAAAGGGCTGCTCCTGGGCCATGGCATTCACCATCCAGCAAGCAACCAGGCTTTCCAAGATGCTGCTTCATGGACCTTTCTACCCTGGCAGCCTCTAGTTATGAGAGCTACTTTACAACAAAAGGAGCCACAAAATCTTGCCCCTGCCCTTGACCAGTCAGTCTCATCCCACACAGCAGGATCGATTCCTCTCACCTCAACTCCAAAAGCACCACTGGTTGTGGTCCAGCCCAACGGGAGAGAAAAAAATATGCTACTCGCTCTGATTCAGTCTGACACACAGCTACACAGGAGCCTCACTGCTCAAGGAGCGATGCCAGGTATCGTTCCAAACTGCTACTTCTCTGACTCCACACTACCCACTGGGTGAGATGAAAAGAACTCAGACCATCAAAGGCACAGAATGTATACACGACGGCTGCTAGGCAAGGAATCGAGGCCTGGACATTGCCAAATGAAGCAGGCACTGGGGGGGAGGGGGAATTTGGAGCCTCAAGGAGTCTGTGGTGATGAAAAAGGTCAAGGGATGCAGTTTAAAGCTGCCTGGCTCTATGACCTTGGGCAAACAGTCATATTTCTAAACCAAGGGCTGGAATGAGAGGAAAAAAGGGCAATCTCTGCGAGGTTTGAGCAAAAGAAAAAGACTGATGTGTCGAGACCTTTCTAGAAGTGAAGAAGCAACAATGTCACCTGGTGGCCGGCTCCAGGTTACCACTCAGAAGGGGGCACTGTTTACAAATCCAGAGGTTGGGGGTGGAGCCTGGCTACAGAAGACGAAGTACGAAACTGGCACCATTTTGCAAAAAAAAAACCAAAAACCTCACCTGCTTCACTGCCTCAAGTCAGAAGGATCAACTTTGTCACAGTAATTAAAAGCTATCTTACTCTCCGAGGGAGAGCCTGCGATTACATAATGCTGGTCTTGTGACTACAATGCCACGATTCTTCACCCCTGGCCCCTCAGGCGCCGCAGAAAGGTGAGGCCCTAGCAACCCCTATCCAAGGTGCCAGAGAGAAAAGGATAGGGAGAGTCGCCCAGCTAGCTTTTCCTTGGGGGGGAGGAGGGGGCAGCTGGGCCTCCAGATAAAAGGATGGCCAAAGGGCCCCAAGCCAGCTTCCTGAGTCACGAGCCAGTAGCTCTGGGAAAACGCAAAAGGAGCACTCCAGGACAGTTCTCATCCTGTGTGTCCTCGGTCTTGCGACAAAAAAAAAAAAAAAAAAAAAAAAAAAAAAAAAGGCTAAGCTTCCAAATGACACGGACCGTCTTGCACCATTCCTTAACACGTACAAACCTTATTGCCTCGCTTGGAAATTTCTAAGGGGGCCGTACACCCCCGCCCCCGCAACACACACACACACACACACACACACACACACACACATCCTATCGCGTCCTCCAGAGGGCAGCGACCACGAAGGGCAGCATCTGTGGGCGCTGAGAAAGCAAGCACCCGCCGCCCCGCCGGGTCCGCAGGCCGCGGCCAGTCCTCCGCCCTCGCCCTCCCCCTCCAGGCCCGGAGCCACGCCGGAGTGACCGGGCGACCTCTCTGCAGGAAGGACGCCCCGGAGGGTGGCGGCGGCGGGAGGAGCCGCGTCATGCCCGAGCCCTCTCCACCCGCTCTCCTCGGGACCCCAGAGGCCTCCTCGCAGCGCGGGCGGGCTCCCCCCCCCGGGGAGCTGCGAGGCCTCCGGCCGCCGCACGAGGATCTCCGGCGCTCGGGCCGAGCAGGGCGCCGCCGGCTGCCCCCGGACCCCCGCTCACCGTCACGCAGGCGAGTCCGCACAGGCCCCTGGGGAGCAGCGCAGGGCTGAAGCAGAGCGCGGGTAGGGGCGGTGTCCCCTGGGTTCGTCCTGCAGCAGCAGCCACTGCCGCCGCGGCGTCCCCCTTGCTCCCGCAGCCCCGGGCCGAGCGCTCGCGCTGCCGTCCGCCCTCCGAGCTCCCTCGGCCGCCCGCGCTCCGCCTCGCGCCACCCGGCAGCAAGCCTGCTCCCGCTGCTGCCTCGCTGTCCGCTCTGCTCCGCCGCTGAGCGCGGCCGACGCGCGGCCCTGAAATAGAGCCCCGCCCCCGCCCCCCTGCCGCGCGCGCCGCCGTCCGCGCTCCCCATTGGCTGAGCCCGCCCGGCCCCGCACTGCGGGCTTCTCCCGGCGCCGCTCTCGCTCCACATCTTGTTTCCTCCCACAATGCCTCGGGGCGGAGGAGGGGGTGGGGAAGGGGAGCTGGAGAAGGGGGGCGGGGGGAGCTGTGGCCTTTGGAAGAAGAGAAAAGAGAATGCCGAGCCCTTCGGCCCTGGCCTGCAGAGGTTGTAAAGAGTGTGGGGACCAGAAAGGAAAAGAGAGAGGGGCGTGGAGGCCCCAGTTCCAAGGAGAACGGAAGACTGGGAGGATGGAGAGCTCCGACTCAGGAGAGAAGGCCTCCAGGTCCCAACTTTGGAAAGAGGCAGGGAATGGGATAAAAATCACCAGGGGTGAGGGGAAATACAGGACAGCATTTCCCTCCGCCGGCAGCACTTGAGAGCGGAACAGCCAATCCCCATGGTGAAATAAAAGCATAAGCAGTCCTCAAGGGCCCCCTGCCCCCCTCACATTCTGGAAAGGTCTCTGATTGTAGAGCTCAGCCTTTGTTCACGAATCCCATGGCCTTTCTCCCTACTCATAGCTGGGGCCCTAATCACTGTATTCAAGAACAATGGAGGTACAGCCTCTGCAGTTTATGATCCTTGATTCCTTTGGGGATAGAGTTGAGAACCATTTCCAGTCAGTCGTCCGCACCTGTCCAGTTAAACAGAACCAGCGGGAACTAAACTGAACGTTTATAGGTATGAGCCCTGAGGTGTCTTAAAAACCTCTTCATCCATTGCTGACACACGCCTTTAATCCCAACACCCACTCGGGAGGCAGAGGTGTGTGGATCTCTGTGAGTTCGAAACTAGCCTGGTCTAGAGTGAGTTCCAGAACAGCCAGGGTACACAGAGAAACCCTGTCTCGAAAAACAAAAATGTAGACAGAACAGATTCAGAGCCGTTGACAAGTTAGTTCCCTTGGGCTACAACTGGAAAAATACAGGCAGCAGACACTGGGGTGTACATGTGTATGTGTATAAATGTGTTCTCAGAGGTATCGTTCGTGGTATTCCAACTAAGAAAAGAGAAGACACTCAGGAAATGTCTTTTTCCTCCCAAACTTTGACCCACAAAGGGTCTATCAAAAGGGTGTGCATAATGGAGTCTTCAGTGGGAGGTCAGACATTCTGGCCACTCAGTGGATGTTAGCAAATTGCCTGGCACAGTTCCCATGCCTATCTTTTTCTCTTCCCTGACATAAACCCTGAGTGAAAAGTCAGTTGCTGTGGCCTTAGCCTGCCCTGCTTGGGAGTATCATAACTGAGTATTCATTATGTGTCAGACCAAATGTGGGAAATAGTCCCCTCAGGCTTCTGCATTCTACAGCTGTCTCTCCCATCTTCAGTGAGGGACTGACTGACCAGGCAAAGGCTTGGGGCATTCCTTCATTCAGGGGGTATTCTGATGTCAGCCTGTGTTAATGAATGAAGGGTGGGGCAAGTTTGGGGAGGGGCTAGAGGCTGGGTCAACCACCTGGGGCTTTTGTGGAGTAACTGTTAGGGACTTGGAGAAAGCTAACATCCTCTTTCCATAACCTTCCTTAGCTTCCTGCCCCTTTCAAGGTCTGAAGCTCACAACTGTGATGTATGATTGTAGATGTTCACTGCTCAAGAACAGCCAATGGAGGGAGGAAGTGGGAAATGGTAAAGCACACGCTACACACACTTCCTGGCATGTCTTGCTACAGGCCGGCCACAACAGTGATTATGAACGTTAATGACCCTACTGTGTTCTCCCTACTCCTCTCGAGTAGAGAGGAGAGAGATTAATTATTCCTAGTGTGGATTATAATGGGATGGAAATAGAAGCTAAAACTCTCAACAAAAGTTAGGTTAAGACTTGTGGCTCTTCAGAAATTTGAGGTGTGTGTGTGTGTGTTGTATGAGACTTGTTAAAACATGGGTTCGAGTTTGGGGATGTAACTCAGTGGTAGAGTGTGTGCTTACCCAGCATGCTCAAGGCCCTGAGTTTGATCCCCAAATAATAGTATAGTGTATAGATAACTAACCTGTATGGAGCCCTCACTCTGTGGCAGGATCTAAGTGTTTCAAATGTAAAGCATTCTATTCTACTACACTAAACTAGTTTTGAAGTGAATTATTACTGTCCCCCTTTGGGTAAGTAGCTGTTAGCTTACTGTAGTTGGGTAGTTTGCCTAAAGCCACCCATCTTGTGGTCCGCAAGATTCAAGCTCAGTCTGTCCCAAGTGCTTACGACCTTAGCCATTAGACTACTGTGCCACCTAACCCTGAACTGTAAGTATAAAAAAAGGACTTGGCTCTGCCTAAATCATACCATCATTTTTGAAACTTATGTCACTCCAAAGTTCTTTTTCATTTTCCTATGCTGTCTCTTTGTTAATATTTTTTACATGTTATTCTGCCTGCATTTATGTCTGTATACCACATGTGTGCCTGATCCCCATGGAGGCCAGATCCCTGTAAGTGGAGTTATAGATGGTTGCCAGATACCTTGTGGGTGCTGGGAATTGAACCCATATCCACTAAAAGAGTAACCAGTACTCTTTTAGCTCTCCAGCCTCCTCCAAAATCTTTTTTTTTTTTTTTTAAGACCAAGTCTCTCTATATAGCTCTGGCTGTCCTGGAACTCTCTATGTAGACCAGGCTGGCCTCAAACTGCCTCTGCCTTTGCCTCCCATGTGCTGGAATTAAAGTCTGTATCATTATTCCTGGCTCTAAAGTTGGGTTGTTTTGTGTGTGTTTTGTGTGTGTTTAGTTTGTTTTGTTCGAGACAGGGTTTCTCTGTATTGTTTTGGAACCTGTCCTGGAACTAGCACTGTAGACCAGGCTGACCTCCTCAAACTCACAGAGATCTACCTGCCTCTGTCTCCCGAGTGCTGGGACTAAAGGCATGGGCCACCAACGCTGGGCCAAAGTTGTTTTTTTAATCCAAACATGAAATATCTCCAGGAACAGTGTTTAGAAAACTTGTCCTATATTAATGCTATTTATGCAAAATGCTTATTGCCTAAAATAATTACTAGGCAGCATTGCATATATGATAATTAATATATTCACTAACTTGGGGAAGTCTATCTGACAGAGCTGTTTGAAATTGCCTGGTTTCCTATTTCTTTGCTATCAGTCGTATCTTCTGATTTACAACAGAAGGGATTGATTTTGTCTTTTTACCCTCCATCTGTTTTAATTTCAGGTCACCTCAGATTACTTACTCAACTCACAAGCTTTACCTATATTAATGATTTGTAACTATGGCCTGGAACCTGGACACTCTTTTCTTCTCATCCCTAGATTTATCCACACAGGCCCTTCAGACAGACACACACACACACACACACACACACACACACACACAGAGTGAGAGAGAGAGACTCACACACACACACACACACACACACACACACACACACACACACACACACCACACCTCATAGTTAGTGGTATTCCAGGAATGGATTCCTTTGATTCTAACTTCTTTCCGCCATTCAAAAGCTGTGCAGTGTGCAGATCTGGCCCAGCTATTCAGATCACAAACTTTCATTTTCCTCAGCTATAAGTTGGGAATAATGTATGCTTTATAGAGTTAAGGGATAAAATGCATGAAAAAATCTCAGCCCAAGTGCCTGGTCCATGTAGCTGACAAATATTAGCCATCATCAGCTTTGTTTCCCTTCTCTGTAATTCTCTCCATTCAAAGCCCTGTGCATAAGCTAGAAACCGGCAGGCACAGTCCAGAAATCAGAGCTCCTCCCTGGACTTGCATCTTCCTCATAAAGCACTGCATGCCCTTCACTGCTCACCTCCTGTTTTGCCGATAACCTATATCCAACCCACTATTCATCACCTCTCGGTTTCCTGTCTTCATTCTTGGCACTTCTACTTTCTTCCAGTGGTTCTCAACCTTCCTAATGCTATGACCCTTTAATACAGTTCCTCATGCTGTGGTGACCCCAACCATAAAATTATTTCGTTGCTTCTTCGAAACTAATTTAGCTACTGTTGTGAATGGAAATGTAAATGTCTGATATGTAAGATATCTGATAGGCAACCCCTGTGAAAGGGCCGTTTGACCCCCAATGGTCTGCTCTACAGTAGGAATCCTTTAACAATGTGGATATTTCCCTCCTGTTCAGAATAAGGACTTTGCCCTTTTCCTAACACACTCCGACACACACATCTCTCTGTTTGCCAGGTCTCCCCACACTTCCCATCTCCTGCCTGCTGCTCCTCTAACACCTCAGCTGCCTGCATTTCCCACATGCAGATTCCACACCTCTGTTCAAGTGGCTCTTTCCCCTAAGACTAAGAGCTTTTCTCCCTGGCTGCTTCTTACATCTAAGATGCCTTCCTTCCCCAAATCTCACAGCAGATATATACCTGTCCCTGTCATGGGCTCTGTAATTTCCAGGGCTCACCACTAACCACTTCCTATTAAACTTGTTGGTCTTAGGTCCGTCTGTTGTCTCTTGCTGATAGGGGTCACATGTGATTTCTCTGTATAATGAAGGACCTAACACAGTTCTTGGAAAGTTTTCCCAAGTGTTAGGTAAACTGGGCATGCCCATCAGTGGCTGAAAAGCACAACTGCAAGAACACTCCTTCTCTTGCAGGTGCTCAGGCTCCTCTGTTTCTCTCCCCAGAACCAGCAACACATGCTGTTTACACTGGGCTTTTCCTGCCCAGAACAAATTGCTAGCTAAAACAAATCACTGTCAGCGCCCGGGGTAAATCCAGCCCTGATTTCTAAACTGACTTCCTCCTCACTTTCTCCTGAGCATTTATTTGGCTGGGATCTTTAGGTAAACTCCAGCTAACTGGGTCACCCACAGGGATTGGACCACAGATTGTGGAGGTGACAAAGTCATTCTGCCAAGACCTTTATCAAATGAATTACTTCAAAGGCTAC